ACAACCGGCCCTTCAAATGGAACTGTATTGCTAATGTGGCCCCCGGTGAAAATGAGTTTGACATCCCTGCTCTAGATCATACGTGTCAAACTCAAGGCCCGGGGGCCAAATGCGGCACGCCAAGCCGTTTTGTGTGGCCCGCGGGAGCTTAAAAAGCATTAAGTAAAGTTCATGACGCAGAGTTTCTTAACCTAAATAATTAAACGTTTTTCATAATCAATCAAATAATAATCAATTGCAGAAACATGTATTAGTCTGTTATGGAGTAGTTACATCTATACCAGCGGTCCCTAACCTTTTTTGTTCCAAGGATTGGTCAGCCAGTACCACCCGTTAGTACAGACCTGTAGTACTGAGCATTACATTTTTAAATTAAAACTTCTATTCTGATAGTATCAGAGTTTGAATGACCTATTAATTTAAAATTAGATTATCTTTTGCCAAATTATCCTTATCTTTAAATGGATATGACTTTTTTAGTAGTTTAGTAAACTACTCCAGCTCAGTGCACCTGACTCCACCACTGACTTCCTAATTGACAGGAGTCTCTCTTCTGCTCTGCTCTTCTCCTTGTACACAAACACCTGCACCTTGAGCCATCAGAACGTCAAGCTCCTGAAGTTCGCGGATGACACCACCCTAATCGGACTCATCTCTGATGGAGAGAGAGAGTCGTGTAGATGGGAGATTGACCGCCTGGTGACCTGGTGTAGACTCAACAACTCAGAGCTCAATGCCCTAAAAACAGTGGAGATGACAGTGGTCTTCAGAAAGAGCCCACCCCCATCCGCGCCTATCACCCTGGGTGATTCTCCCTGTGGATACTGTGGAAACACTTCCGCTTCCTGGGAACCATCATCACCTATAGGACCTTAGATGGGAGCTAAACATCAGCTCCCAGATCAAAAGAGCCCAACAGAGGATGTACTTCCTGAGGCAGCTGACACAGTTCAATCTGCCAAAGTCAATGATGGTGAACTTCTACACCCCCATCATCGAGTCTATCCTCACCTCCTCCATCTCCATCTGGTACGCTGCGGTCACCGCAAAGGATCTGCGCAGACTGCAGCGGATCATCCGCTCTGCCGAGTAAGTAGGCAACTGACTGCAACCTACCTTCGCTACAGGACCTGTACACCTCCAGAACCCTAATGCGAGCTAAAAAGATTGCAACCGACCCCCTCTCACCCCGGTCACAAACTCTTTGGCAGAAGGTCCTCCCGGACCAAAACCTCTTGGCACAAAAACAGCTTCTTCCCATCTGCTATTAGCCCTGTCAACAGACAAAAAAGGCTTGATGTGCCTCAGGACCAGCCGCTCCGGACACTTTGTGATGATTGGATGTGAGGGTCTCAATGGGATGTAAGTTTAAGTTTTAAGTTTAAGGGTGACCGGCCTGAAGTCATTCAGTTGGCTTGGCTGAACAACATTCTGAACAATGGGCTGTTGCTGCTGTGATTGTCACATTACTGCAGAGATCTCAGGTCTTAGCAAAAATGACTGGTAATTTAATGGTTAACAACTTTACTTTACTCCTGCTTGGCATTTCCATTTTAGATTGACTGTCAATAAATTGCTCGTGCGACTCTTTATGATGGCGCAGCAGGTGGTGTGCTTATCCCTAGATGTTTCTACAAACGCCCTATTCTCCAAACTCTACTCCATTCTCTCCACTCCTCTGATTATGGTTCCCACAAGAAGGACATCACCTGATTAGCTACAGTGTTCAGACAGGCTTTTACATGTGTGTTTTTTTATGTGTTTTTCATGCACGTTCACATCGGGATACTAATGGAAATACAGTAGGATTAATTGTGCAGGCGTAGTGAAAGGTTATGTTTGTTTAATATATATATATAGATATATAGATATCATCCATGACAATGGTGTAGAAACTAGTAGGTACTCTCGTGTACAAACCAAAAATTCCAACTATAAAAGATCAGCAAGACAATGTAAAAAATATTTTTATGATCTTATTGGCATTTTCCTATCTGTGTCTCATTGCTCAGTCATTTTTTTTAAATTGAGTGATACAATTAGAAGTGATATTATCAGACGCAGTAGATTAATCTACATCTGCAAAAAAAGAGCCTACGTGATTGGTAATGCATCAGCACTATAACCATGTTTAGAGAAAAACACTCACCATTGTTAAATTTGAGGTTCTGTGTTTTCTACTGTTAGCGGCGGGGTACTTGGGTATCCGAGGCACAGTTGCAATTTGCTCACTGCTTCCTGATTGTCTCCTTTGGTGATCTGCAATAAACATGGGTGTTAAGTTAGTTAGTAATAAAAAATTACAATTTTAACATAACAATTACTGTGGAGATTTTCTTATTGCTTCCTAGAGTGCATTCGTTTTCTCAAAGGTGGCGAAAAGCACCTAGAACGCAAGCTAAAGATACAGTAGTTATGTGTTGTGACTTTACAATGAGAATGGGAAAGACGACAGTAAGAAAAATGTAATTACAGAGACAAGATGGAAAACAAAATTTAAAAAAAGGTTGTAAATATTTCACCAATAATCAAATATATTATGTTGTTTTTTTATTATAATAAATAAATTATAAATTGTGGGTTTTTTTTACAAGAAACCATTTTTTTGTTTGTTTTCAATTCTTTTTTTTCTAAGCATCTGGGATTAACAGTTTACAATAATGAGTGTTTGTAGCTAATCAGTGCAAGTGCTTTATTAAAGGACTAAAGTCTCCATCCCTCTCTCTCTCTCTATCTTTGTAAAAGGCAAAGACATAACACTATACAAAGCTGAGAATATCGCTAGTCATTGATATATCATATATCAATATCAAATTCTTATGCCAAATGTCTAGCAATGTATCTATATTTTAGCGAACCTTAGATTAATAACCTTAAATATAGTTAATGTCTATAATAGACCAAAGCTTTTCTAATGACATTACCTAGTATGGATGTTGAGAATTCTAGGAACGTCTGGGTGGACATTTTATCTTTATATTTTGCAATAAGGACATATCCCGATCTTGCAGAGATCTCAGGTCTTAGCAAAAATGACTGGTAATTTAATGGTTAACAACAAGTGTCAATGTCGGTATTTTTTTTTCTTTTTTTCATTGATTTTCATTATTGAAAACACCTCTATATTCTGACAATTGTCATTACTGTCATGACCATAACATGGAACTCAGAGTATCTTACCACTGTGCAGCATCCACAAGCCAAAACTGGCCTGCCTGTAGAGCTCATCCACACACGTTGGCCGCGAAGATGGTTGGAAGATTTTTTTTGGATGGTGATACGTTATCTGGTAATGGGATTTCACCTTACATTCAATGTCAAGACTGGATTCCGCTGAAATAAAAAAAAAAACAAACAAATAAAACTACATATAAAAAACATTTTAAGAGCAATTATGTAGACTTAATATTTGTATATATGGTTACTTTTAACCACATTTTATCTTTACCGAGACAGTTCCCGTTTGTTATCTAAAATGTTATGTTTGGTTATCAGTTTAATTATAACTAGGGATGCATCACCGATGCATCAGATGCATCAGATGAACATTTGTATCAGCCAACATTCGCCTTGTGAAATGCCATTGGGAAACTGACAATAATAGTTTACAGATGGTGAATAAAAAATATATTAGCATCTAGGTCTAAGCCAAAAAAAAAACAACTCAAAATATTTTTCGCAGATCACTGGTAACTCCTCTCTTTTGGGCAGTTGTGGCTTAGTGGTTAAGGAACAGACTTGGGTCCGGAAGGCTTCAGGTTTGAGTCAACCAGCTGCCAACTGAGGTGCTCTGAGCATGGCACGAGGTCACATTTCGTTGTGTGCAGTGTCACAATGACAACTAATAGTTCACTTTCCTTTATAGATAGATACTTAATTATCATTTTGATTTACATCAAACAACATTACATGTCATTGCTCATAGCACAACAGGAAAAAAGGAAAAGCCATATATGCAGTATAGGCTTAATATGCATATGTAAAAAAGAGACGTAACAAACAATATATATACATATATATATAAAAGTACCGTATTTTTCCGACCATACGGTGCACCAGATTATAAGGCGCAATATCAATGAACGGGTCTATTTTCATACATAAGGCTCACTGGATTATAAGGCGCATTAAGCGAAACAAAACAGTCTTAGCTGTTCATTGATGATTCCGGTCTAGTCAAAGCTCGGACAACATGTAGGACTGATACCTTAGCCCAGGCATGCACGATCCAGTAGCAGATAGTGGTGTAACTCGCCCGGTGTTGCCTCCCTGTCTTGGTGAATGTGTGTTCGCCTTCAGTCATCCAAGGCTCCCACCCAGCTCGCAATTTAACTAAATTTAACGCCCTGTTAACACCAATATTCAGTTGGAATTCTTTGGGTAATCCACCCGGAATGATGGCGAGGCCCGAATTAGTTTGCTTCACTTGGGTTTTGACAATAATAATCGGTTAGATGGAGTCGCAGATCAATAGGGACTGAGATTTGTGGGAAAGGGTAGTGACCTAAGTTGGACACAGGTAGGCACTGTTGTTGTTGTTGTTCGCCCCTCCAGAGTCACTTTTGTTCTGGATGGTCACTATATTGTTGTTTCGGCGCTGTTTCGTGCGGAAGTTGTTTTGCAGAGAGAGAGTGTGTGTTTTGCCTGCATCCATAAAAAAGTCGTCCTGCATCGCACCATACATCGATAATACAAAAACACAAAGCAGAGTCTCCGGGTGTTGGGAGGCACGATGCAACGTTTTATGGATTTGGGTTAAAAGGCGTAAAAGTGAGTCTGCAGCTGACTCCGAAATGCAGTGTCAAATAAGGAAAAGTTACAAACCAAAAACAAACTTTTGACACTGGCTGCAAATGCCACAAACCAAATGCGTACCAGAGGCGCACGTCCATGTAAATAGTTCAAATATATCAGCGTAATATTTAGTTTATTGTTTTTCTCCGTGGGTAAAATATTTCCTCATCAACTACTATAAATGGCGCTTCTGTGAATAAATGCAATGAGTTGTGGATTTACGGTAATGTGAATGTTAAACGTGTTATAACACACATTTTTGTGTACCTTCCTAACACTCTTTTACTCTAAATGTACCAAATTATGTAATTTAAAAATAAAAAAATCTTATATATAATGCATGAAATACAATAAAATGACAATTGACTGATTTAGAGTTACATGACCTTATATACCTGCGGTATCAAATGTGATACATCCATTTTCAACACAGTTTTACTAAAACATATAATATGAAAATTGTAAGTATTTTCACACTGCATCAACCCAGTAACTATTCCCGTTGATGTTTCAGTAAAAAAAATTTATGTTTTTCTCATCTTAATCTTTTCAAACTTGGCAAAATTCACCTGTGTCCAAATCCTGAATTACTATTCCCTGTTGGATTATCTGTGTACTGCATTTATCTGTTTGTATACGTCTGTTTTTTTCAGAGAAAAAAATATCACACTGCCCATGTGGAGGGCTGTAAAACTCATGTATCAAATGTGATACGTTTGGCGTTATAGGGTTAAGTTAATTCTAAGTTTATGTTAAGTTACGTAGTGTACGTGTAAGGTACGGTACGGAATCAAGTGTCTTCGTATGGGCCAACTCTGGGGTAAGAAGTCATAATTAAAACCACATTTTATTTTATATCACAGGAATCCTTATATACTATAATTTTTTTGTGTGTGTGTATGTCTCTAAAGCAATTAAAATATGTTTTTGCCTCATGGAAATAGGTCAAAAATGTAAGCAGTTTGAAGGTATTTAAATGTCACAGTACACCGCAGGAGCAAATGTTACTACAAAATATATTTTGTTACAACTTATTTTTTTCTACAATACCAGCAATACTTTTCCCAGTGTAGGATCAATAAAGTTCAACCTTAGCCTTATTTAGTAAAACTGCTCAAATGCATCTCAGTGTTCAATAACTGAAATATTGAAGTATCAAACAGCAACACTTTCGTCAAACACAACTAACAGCAGGAGAAATATAAAGTAAAAGCTCTGCTGACTTTCTATTCAACTGGCTCTGTTAAATATGCAAAACATTCATTTTATTTATTCTATATTATTTAATCAATTTGGAATAAAAAAAAGATATTAATGAGAAGAAAAAACACTGCCTCACTGCACTCAGTTGTCCCACCTAATGCTGTCTTTCAGTTTATTTATGGAGAGTGTGTCAATACCAACATAGGTCTTGCACAATAATCAATAAAGCAGTTTATTTTATTTTATTTTATTTATTTCATGGTCTGTATTGTCAACAAAACTGAGCTTTTGCTTTTAACCCATTACCAAGGGGAACAGTGGGCAGTCAAAAACATAAAACACAAACAAATCTAATACATGTGTAATTCCAAATATGAAAAGTGCTGCCATAATGCTGGGTGGAAGTCCGGAAAAAATATTTTATAGATATATACAGTATATATCTATCCATCCACTTATCCAGGGCCGGGTTGCCGGGGTAACACGCCGAGTGATACGTAGGCGTACACCCACACCCGGAAGCCAACCACCACACCCTCTGAACAAACTTAAAAAGGAATTCAAATATTATTTTCCATATATGAGTTTCAATTTATATCATATTTGATAGATCAGGTCACAATGCTCAAAGATTATTTTTTCCTGAACAAATATATATATATATATATGTGTGTGTGTGTGTGTGTGTGTGCGTGTGTGTGTATATATATGTATGTATAGTATGTTTTCCAGACTTCCACCCAGTCAGTTCCATTGGTGGATTTCTCATTACTGCATTATGGTAGCACTTTCAAATATATCCATCGATCCATCCGCTTATCCGGGGCCGGGTAACGGGGGTAACAGTCGGAGCAGGGACGCCCAGACTTCCCTCTCCCCAGTCACTTCCTCCAGCTCTTCTGGGGGGATCCCGAGGCGTTCTCAGGCTAGCCAAGAATCGTAGTCGCTCCAGCGTGTCCTGGGTCTTCCCCTAGATCTCCTCCCAATGGGGCACGACCCGAGCACCTCCCGAGGAAGGCATCTGGGGAGCATACGATGTAAATGCCCAAGCCACCTCAGCTGACTCCTCTCGATATGAAAGAGCTCTACTCCAAGCTCCTTTTCGGGTGACAGAGGTCCTCACAAAAGTCGAGCAGGAATTGATATCGATAATCGATTTAATCGATCGCTCCGGAAGGGCTAACAACAGCAACAGCACCCTCTAGTGTCGCTACCCCTTTCCACAAATCTCCGTCCCTATTGATCTGCGCCTCCATGTTCGTGCCTCTCGCCTCACCTCAGCTGACTCCTCTCGATATGAAAGAGCTCTACTCCAAGCTCCTTTTCGGGTGACAGAGGTCCTCACAAAAGTCGAGCAGGAATTGATATCGATAATCGATTTAATCGATCGCTCCGGAAGGGCTAACAACAGCAACAGCACCCTCTAGTGTCGCTACCCCTTTCCACAAATCTCCGTCCCTATTGATCTGCGCCTCCATGTTCGTGCCTCTCGCCTCTGCCATCAAAACCTATTCTTATCATAGAAAATGACATTTTAATAGCTGTCCACTGTAGTGACCGTCATGCATGAAAGGGTTAAGCAAACTAATTCAGGGCTTGCCATCATTTCAGGTGGATTAACCAAAGAATTCCAAACGCTAATATTGGTGTTAAAAGGGCGTTCAAGTTGAATTGCAAGCTGTGTGGGAGCATTGGATGACAGAAGGCGAACACATTCACCATGACAGGGAGGTAACGCCTCAAAACAGTGCTGTAAAATCATTTTGCACTCATTGCAAGTATTACTTTATTAATTTACATAAATGTCAGCAAAAAATGCTTTTGTGTTTATTTTTAAATATTCTATCTTTATTTTGACAAGGGTGAGGTTATGAAACTGTCAAAATTCCAGGATATATTAGTAATCAAAAAATTCATAAAAATGCCTAAAAGCTCCAGTTTTAAAGTTGCCATCAGATGCCGTAACCCAGTATTTAGGGTCCACATCATTTTTAGGTTTGAATTGTAGTTTATTTCAATCAATGAGTTCTGTAGAAAAACATGGACGTCTTTACTAAAACTTGTTGATTTTTAGAGTGCCTGTACAGTTTTCCTAAAAGTCGGCTTTTTTTTTTTTCCACAAGTCGCATTATGCAGCGGTGACAGGACAGGAGTGTGATTTCCGTAGCAGTCACTAAAATAACATTACCGTCTCAGTTCCTACATATTTGTCTCTTTGAGTTACAAGAGCTATGTGAAACTATAATTTATGGGTTTCCATTCACTCCATAAGTCTATTTTAGTCTCCGTTCGTTAACATAGTCCCGACATTGATGCCACACCGTTTGGTATGCCATTGGGGCTTAACGTGTTTCCCTTTTTAGTTTTGAAAACTTCGCTTTGTTTCTATGTGAAGAATATAACAACGGTAGCGTCGAAAATTCGCGCTCTATAAGAAAGTCCCACAAATACAGTACAAATGATTTTGGTTTGAGGGGATAATACGTATGTCGTACGTAAAAACTTGATTTAATATAGACAAACCGCTAGCTACGCACTTTTGAATCGAGGTTTTTAAACTTAAACCACGACGTCAGCACTGCTTGTTTCGTCATCTGAACAGAGATGACGCTTCTTTGTGCGTGTCCGCGAGTAATACGTTTTTATGTTCATGGATGGAATAAAGCAAAGATGAAAGGTGAAGACAAATGGAAAGTTTGAAGGGAGAAATACATTTTTGTACTCACGCACTAACTCCAGTTGATAATCCAATCTGGAGCAGGTCTCCTGGAGTCGGTTAAGTTTACTCTGAAGCCCACGGAGCCTGAGACTGTTGGATAACAGTTCGCTCTCCAGCTCCTTAAAAATGGAGCAGGCGTGTTGGGCCATGTCCGAAAGCTGCCGCAGACTTCGGGACAAAGCCAGGTTGTTTACGCAAAACAGATCATCGAACAACACGCCCTCCGTGTTCGGGATGTGGTACCTGCAAAGAAACTGAGGCTCCACAACTCGCTTGGCAAACGGCATGTCGCAGTTGTGGGACCAAACTGTTGGGACAGCTCTAACAAAAATTGTTCTAGTCCGGTCCGAGGCCTTGTGCGAGTGGGCACAGTTGCTGCTGCTCTTGCAGTAACTGGTCCCCGCCCCCTATCCTCCGCTGGGTTGGAGGGGTGGGGGGGTTACAGGAATGGCCAGGGTCAACAACTTTTCTCCAGTGCCTTTTCTTTTTTCTTTCTGCTTTTTTTTTAAATGAAACCAGAGGTGGAGCTAAAAAGTAGTTACAAAAAATGGGTTGGATATGTCAAATGGATCAGAACTCCTGAGTAGCTATTAAATACAAATAAAATAAAACCTTGATTTTTACTCACAAAGTCCCTGTCCCATCCAGTTGCAGTCACGTGACTGTATGTTAGTTAGTGTACTAGTGGCATCACTCCCAAAGTGTTGGTCAAAGAAGCAAATCTAGCTTTTCGGGGAAGGTTTTGTGGCAAAAGGCATGTTTGAACCCATTTGCAAATTCAAATGTGTATATTTCTTACATTTGCATAATTCATTAAAACAAGCTATTTGACACTTACTTGTTCCTACTATAAATAAAAGGAAAGATTGCTGTGGAATTTATGTGATCTCCTTTCAAACATCTGCCCAGATTCCTCCTACGCACAGATCAAACCTCCCTGAACCTGGCTGATGATTTTTAAGGAACCTGAGGAACAGTTGGCTGCGAGAAGGTTGAAAAACTTCATATAAGTCCGTCCGGCCCAGATTTGTCCCAAGACCAAATTCTCTTGCTTTATGTACCAGACACCATGCTATGCTTAACAGAAGGATAAACTTTGCAGCACACCATCAGCATCAGTGCGATCAGCGTCAGTGCAAACACTGCTTTCTGCTTTTCCCTCAAACAGAGAGAGAGAGAAAAAAAAAAAAGTCAGGATCAGGTTCACAAAACTATGGAGCCAAAAGACAATTATAAATTTGCTTTGCTTTTATTCTGACAAATAAACACATTTAACAAGAACAACAAATAAAAATATGCCTTCGCATGAGTTTAACTGTGCAAACAATTTTGACATTGACATTCGTGGTGAATTTAAATATCTCGGGCTTTTCTGAAAATCCTTGATGTTGCGCAGGGAAATTCTTTGCAGTTTAACGGGCAGTTTGATAACACAACAACAAATCGCCCGGCGTCTCTTTAACGTCACTTTCACCAGTGATCAACATACACAGTGGCAGTTTGATAACACAACAACAAATCGTCTCTTTAACGTCACTTTCACCAGTGATCAACATACAGTATGTATGGTAGAACCCTGCGATTTTACTATGTGAATAAACACCTAGAGTGCATCCAATTTTCGGTAGGGTACATTTCACTAAGAACATGTTTTAATTTCTGTTCAAGCCATGTTTTGAAGGAAAACGCTGTGGTAAGTTCCACAATTGTCATGTAGTTAATCTCAAGATGCTAATTATAATTCCCAGGTGTGTCTGCAAAAACCTACTTCTTTACTCGGACGTCCCCGCCGTGACAGCGCACAGGCTGATCTTATTTGGCGTGGGTGTGGCTTTTGTTTATATAGTACACAAAAGGTGAGAGATAAGTTTAATACACCCTTAAACAGTTCCAAAACAAAGTAAGAACAGCCGGTCATTTAAAAAAAAAAAAAAAAAAAACTCAATAAAACATTTTTGTTTTTACAGACAGGTCCCTATATGTGCATTGCCGGTTAAGTCACCTACATTTTCTTTCTAAATGCCATAACTCAAATCGCTAAAAATGTTATATTTCGAATTTAAAAAGTATCCATGTTAGTAGTCCACACATGCCCACACAGAGCAGTTGCCAACAAGGACATGTGGACATCTTATCTAATCTGCTCAAGTCTGTCACAGGCATCCGATTCAGATATTCTATTTAACTCGAATTCTGAATCTTAACTCTTAGGAATGCATGAGAAAGAGCCATGTTGTGAGTGTGAGCAAAACCAAGCTGAGCAAAACCGCCTAAACGTTTTTTTTGTGGGGCAGACATGAAAACGTAAAAGCGATTTCCCTTTTCATTTTCTTTTTAGTTGTGTTACAGAATGAGCAGTGTTTTGGAACTGTGGTTTTGTATGAGGAAGTCAGGAGTGGCAGAGAAGTATGTTAGTTTGGTGCAGGACACGTATGAGAATAGTACAACAGTAGTGAGGTGCGCTGTTGGGAGGACAGAAGACTTCAAGGTGGAGGTGGGACTTCATCAAGGATCGGCCCTGAGCCCCTTCTTGTTTGCTGTGGTGATGGACAGATTGACAGATGAGGTCAGACAGGAGTCCCCATGGACT